CTTCAAAATCCATGTACAACGAATATTAACGGAGATATTGATTTTTTTTGTTTTTCAACCCCTTTTCTACCCCCTTTGACGGCATGACAAACTATGAGTTAAATACTTCTCTATCAAATACAATCAGTAGAATCGTTTGCCGCCTTCAAAATCCATGTACAACGAATATTAACGGAGATATTGATTTTTTTTGTTTTTCAACCCCTTTTCTACCCCCTTAGACGGCCTGACAAACTATGAGTTCAACACTTTTCTATCAAATACAACCAGTAGAATCGTTTGCCGCCTTCAAAATCCATGTACAACGAATATTAACGGAGATATTGATTTTTTTTTGTTTTTCAACCCCTTTTCTACCCCCTTTGACGGCCTGACAAACTATGAGTTCAACACTTTTGTATCGAATACAATCAGTAGAATCGTTTGCCGCCTTCAAAATCCATGTACAACAATTATTAACGAAGATATTGATTTTTTTGTTTTTCAACCCCTTTTCTACCCCCTTTGACGGCCTGACAAACTATGAGTTCAACACTCTTCTATCAAATACAATCAGTAGAATCGTTTGCCGCCTTCAAAATCCATGTACAACGAATATTAACGAAGATATTGATTTTTTTTGTTTTTCAACCCCTTTTCTACCCCCTTTGACGGCCTGTCAAACTATGAGTTCAATACTTCTCTATCAAATACAATCAGTAGAATCGTTTGCCGCCTTCAAAATCCATGTACAACGAATATTAACAAAGATATTGATTTTTTTTGTTTTTCAACCCCTTTTCTACCCCCTTAGACGGCCTGACAAACTATGAGTTCAACACTTTTCTATCAAATACAATCAGTAGAATCGTTTGCCGCCTTCAAAATCCATGTACAACGAATATTAACGGAGATATTGATTTTTTTTGTTTTTCAACCCCTTTTCTACCCCCTTAGACGGCCTGACAAACTATGAGTTCAACACTTTTCTATAAAATACAATCAGTAGAATCGTTTGCCGCCTTCAAAATCCATGTACAACGAATATTAACAAAGATATTGATTTTTTTTGTTTTTCAACCCCTTTTCTACCCCCTTAGACGGCCTGACAAACTATGAGTTCAACACTTTTCTATCAAATACAATCAGTAGAATCGTTTGCCGCCTTCAAAATCCATGTACAACGAATATTAACGGAGATATTGATTTTTTTTGTTTTTCAACCCCTTTTCTACCCCCTTAGACGGCCTGACAAACTATGAGTTCAACACTTTTCTATAAAATACAATCAGTAGAATCGTTTGCCGCCTTCAAAATCCATGTACAACGAATATTAACAAAGATATTGATTTTTTTTGTTTTTCAACCCCTTTTCTACTTCCTTAGACGGCCTGACAAACTATGAGTTCAACACTTTTCTATCAAATACAATCAGTAGAATCGTTTGCCGCCTTCAAAATCCATGTACAACGAATATTAACGGAGATATTGATTTTTTTGTTTTTCAACCCCTTTTCTACCCCTTTTGACGGCCTGACAAACTATGAGTTCAACACTCTTCTATCAAATTCGATTAGTAGATTCGTTTGCCGTCTTCAAAATCCATGTACAACGAATATTAACGAAGATATTGATTTTTTTTGTTTTTCAACCCCTTTTCTACCCCCTTTGACGGCCTGACAAACTATGAGTTCAACACTTCTCTATCAAATACAATCAGTAGAATCGTTTGCCGCCTTCAAAATCCATGTACAACGAATATTAACAAAGATATTGATTTTTTTTGTTTTTCAACCCCTTTTCTACTTCCTTAGACGGCCTGACAAACTATGAGTTCAACACTTTTCTATCAAATACAATCAGTAGAATCGTTTGCCGCCTTCAAAATCCATGTACAACGAATATTAACGGAGATATTGATTTTTTTTGTTTTTCAACCCCTTTTCTACCCCTTTTGACGGCCTGACAAACTATGAGTTCAACACTCTTCTATCAAATTCGATTAGTAGATTCGTTTGCCGTCTTCAAAATCCATGTACAACGAATATTAACGAAGATATTGATTTTTTTTGTTTTTCAACCCCTTTTCTACCCCCTTTGACGGCCTGACAAACTATGAGTTCAACACTTTTGTATCGAATACAATCAGTAGAATCGTTTGCCGCCTTCAAAATCCATGTACAACAAATATTAACGAAGATATTGATTTTTTTGTTTTTCAACCCCTTTTCTACCCCCTTTGACGGCCTGACAAACTATGAGTTCAACACTCTTCTATCAAATACGATTAGTAGATTCGTTTGCCGTCTTCAAAATCCATGTACAACGAATATTAACGAAGATATTGATTTTTTTTGTTTTTCAACCCCTTTTCTACCCCCTTTGACGGCCTGACAAACTATGAGTTCAACACTTTTCTATCAAATACAATCAGTAGAATCGTTTGCCGCCTTCAAAATCCATGTACAACGAGTATTCACTGAGATAATGAGTTATTTTCGTTTTCAAACCCCTTTTCTTTCCCTTTAGACGACTTGATAAACTATCGATTCACCACCTCCCTATCAAATTCGACTCAGGCTCTCACCCCTCTTCAGTCGTTCTATGAAATGCGTTCAAGTTCCATCTGAAATCGGGTGAAATTGCTGAACACATTTTCGGCGATAAATTTTTCTCGGTGTATTTTGTGGATGTGGCTAACTTCACTCCCGTGATATTTTCAGGTTTTTGTTCATTCATGGGTTCATATTGAGGTTTATATGAACCTTGGACATTGAGTAGAAAAAAATCTTGCTAGGTATATCTACAGCGAGATCTACAGCTGTAATGGGTAACTATATTTTTATTTTGTTTTTCCAAAAATAAGAAATTAAGTCAAAACAAAGAAGCATCTGAAAAATTAGCAAGCAACAGCCAACTACATTTTCATTTTGTTATGCCAAAAAATTAGAGAACAAACTCAACAACAAATGTATTTCTGAAGGGAAATTCGAAATTATCATAGGTTGATTTGAAATATGCTTGATAACAGTGCATTCTGTCAAAACAAAATAAAATTTTCTATACTTTCAATGTATTGATAAGTGAAGAAGTGCCAGACAAAAATATTTAGCAATTTTTCAGCAAATGGCCCATCTTTCACTGAGTTTTTACATTGGTTTCACACTCGATTTTACATGAAATTTCACCTGCCTGACTTTCTTCTGTAAAATAATATCCACTGGATCTTGTGAGGCAATAACCCCTATCTTTAGAAGGAAGCACTTTATATTATATTTATACAGGGTTATCCAAATTGAGTGATAACTTCATAATCAAAAATAGTACATTGCTTGAATCATCAACTAGCAGAGCAAGTCTCTTTTGAATATGGGCACAAAATAACAAATGGGCATAGTGTTCTCAGAACATTTTTTACATGAACATCTTTGTCCTTTATATTATTTCATACATTATAACTAAGATAAAACTTTCTAGTTTCCAATGAATAAAAACAGAAGGAAATGTATTTTATTGAAAAATAATTATAGTTTGGTGATTGCTTCAATAATAAGAAAGTTACGAATTTCTGCAGACACTTGCCTTTGATAACCTTGTACCTCAGCCTGTAACCTGTACCTACTTATAAAATTATACATATTTCCATAATTTTGCACTTATCATGTGATGGGTTTTTTTTCCAAAAATTTTTTCGGTACTTATGTATTTTTGTCTGAAATACACTAATTTGATAATGAAAATGAGAACAAACCATTATTTATTAGGATATTTTCACTATAAAGTTACAAATTTCACCTTCTTTTCCACCTGTCTTCTGGATCGAATTTAGAACAATTTGCCCTTCTTTTTCCATCATTGGACAATTTATATATATCACACAATGTTGAATGATGAAATATGATTTTCTTGTGATTTACCCATGTTTAGTGAAAAGAAGGAAGAATATCATTTGAAATAATGGCTTGTGTAATGTCATTCCAAAGCAAGCTATTGACATTCGACATCTGGTATTTGGATTGCCTATGGATTAAATGGCAGTCATCTGGTATGCTTCATATGCCTGCTCACTAAATAGGAAAAACTCACTATAAAAATCATATTTCCTGTTGAATTTTCCATCTTAAAATGTGTCATTGAAGTACATCATGAGTATATAAAGTGTCTAATGACAAAATAAAAAGAGCAAGTACCTGTAAATGCATTCAACACAAGGGGAAAAAGAAGGCAAAATTTCGAACTTTTTCTTGGAATATCTTGATAAATAGTGGTTTGTTCACATTTTCATTATCAAATTCGTTTTTTTTTAGACAAAAATATGTAAGTACCAAAAACATTTTTTGAAAAAAAAAACATGATAAGTGATAGATAGATAGATAGATAGATAGATAGAATTTATTTAACCACGTTACACAATAAAATTCTATGTTTGTAGCAGGTCAGATACAAGATACAAGTAGTGTTATATTGTTAAGCTCACATATTAAAAATAAAAAGAACATGGAAGTTCACAAATTACAAGTTTAAAAATCTAAAATCACAATATTAAAATGTTCCATAAGAGAAAAAAAGTCAATACACAAGTGATGAACACACTAAATGAAAGACAACAAACAAACCAAATTTGGACAGCTAAGGAGATGTGAGTTGTTTGTGAATGTGAAAATGCTCTCTAAAGTCATCAACTGAGTAGAAGCAATGTCTCAATAGATACTTTTTAAGTTGTTTCTAGAAGGAATTCACACTGAGCACTCTGAGATCCTGTGGCAAAATATTATACATAGAAAAATCTAGGGTATTTTTTTGGGATAATTGAACACAATATCGATTTAGTCTGATCTGATGACATTTGAGGACATTGCAAAATTACCCATATTTTGCCAAGATTATGGAGAAAATGACTCTGGTAATATAAACTGTTCAACTTCTGGATAACCTTTGCAAATTGATTATGAAGTGGAATCTTCATAAAAATGCAAGGATCAAATAAATAAATATAATTGAATTGAGCTGTTATTACTCACCTATTGAACAAACAAACTCCACAAAACTGCCCTCTAATACCAACACATTCATTCCTCCTGCAACATGTTTTCTGATCTAGAGTTTTTTGTCTACATTGATGACAACTAGATCCCATAGCTGAGTATTGCTTGATGGAAACTCTCATAGCAATTTTACTTATCATTGCTTCTGTCACCTCTTCCACAGGAATGATTGGAGGCCTCTGAGTGGTTCTCCTCTTATTATTAATTCTAGGTTTCTTTGGCCTATAAACAATATCTTCAAGATCCCTGTAATCATAATCATCCATGTCATCATATTTCTTTCTTTTGAAGGTTGTTTCGTCAACCAAGTCATCTTTAGTGTAAATGGGTTCTTTATCTAGTAGCCTTAATGATCTACGAGTTTCTACAGGTATGGTGATGTTTCCAAAATATGTGAAACCTGTATCTCCATGGGATCTTCTTATTTTGGGTTTGTATGATGGTTTGGAGCTGGTGTTTCCTTTATTATTGAAAATTCCAATGGCGTCTATAGCTTCTGCGAAATCGGGGTCATTCATGAACGATTTGAGGAATGCATCTCTTTCTTTGATATTGTTTTCTCTTTGGATTTCTGCTTCACTCTTGAATCTTGGTGTGACAGGTTCAAAGAATTCTGTGGGATTCGATTTCGGGGATGTATCAGTCATTTTTGCACCTCAAAAAAGTTTTATCAACTCAGATGCTCAAGTTGGAAGGTTTGTGTTTGCAATCCTATTCTGGTTGAGTTTGCTTTGATTAATATAAATAGGTACACGCATTTCTCAACAAAATTCTCTCAATTCATCATCACTTCCATTGAAGTAAATTTATTATTTCTGTATCGCAGTTCATGAACAAGAGATTCAAACAGGCAGAAACCAAATTACCGTTCGTCTGATTTGAGTATTTTGATCAAAAGTTTTGAGATTTGAATTTGAAGTTTTGAGGTTAGTGTTTAGTAGAACGCACAGACACAGAACACATAAAACACAAGACATCAAAGATTTCAATGAAAGTGCTTGGTATGCCGACCGGCCGGTCAGCAGATTACCTTTCTACGAACGTCTTAGGGTAGGATCGTAAAAAGGTGTTGGCTTCATTATTTTGATACCAGACCGACATCAGTGAATTATTATCATGACTACTACCCAGAGATACCGGAGGTCAACGAATCTATTAGACAAGTCATAATATCTAGAATTTGGAATAGAACACCCTTTAGTCCCCGAATATTGAAAATTTCTTTCGATTTCTAAGACAATTGCAGATCCGAGTGTGATATTTTCGAAAGTTTTCACGCTTATTTCAAAAGATAGATGCTTTTTCGATAATGTGATCTGAAAATATACATATATTCAATAATTTGTCCAAATTACTGACCTGAATATATGGAATACATAGAAAACGATGTTGGTCTGAGACTGCGACAATCAACAATATTCATATATCTTTTGAAGAAGAAGAAGAACTCTATTTCCAAATAGGCAAGCCTAATATTAACATGGTTAACATATTCTATTTACACATACTTAATACATAAAAATTAAGATATTTGTCTATTTCAACAAAATAACAATAAATAACAGAGAACTATATCACAAAAATTCTATAAAGTAATCTATTTTATCTATTTATTCTAGCAAAGTCGTAGTTAATGATATATTTTGAATATAAGTTAGCTTCAATTCAATTTGTTGTCATGAATGTTATCAACTCCCTCTTGAATAAATGGATGGAAGATGAATTTTTTATATTATTTGGTAGTTTATTGAAATTATCCAAACCCTTGAAAAATAATGAGTTCATACTGCTTCGTGAATTTGTCCTTGGGATGTAGAAATTGGTATTCGATCTGGTATTATGATGATGTACTTCATTGTTCGTGATTAGAAGGTTTTCTAAATATGTTGGTTGCAATTTATTTATTATTTTGAATATAAATATCATAGTTAGATAGTAAAGTCGTTGAGAAACTGTAAGCCAGCTTAATCTACAAAGCATATCTTGTATAGGGGTCATTCTATTGCAGCGTAGTATTATTCGCATTCCACGATTCTGCAATTTTTGTAATTGGTTTAATTTGTTCTGATTAATAAGATATAAGAGAGTACCGCAGAAATCATAATGAGGTTTTATTATGCAATTATAGCATGTTATTTTGGCATACATTGATAGTGAAGATGACACTCTTGAGAAAAAATACAGTTTTTCTACAAACGTCAAAAAATGACAAGGTTCGCGCATTGATAACAAATTGCGAAGTGACACTTTTTTTCAGTTTCCTACGTTACCATGATGCCTTGCACAAAACAATGCGCGAAGTAAAACAGTGCGCGAAGTACCTACTTCGCGCATTGTTATGTAAAATATATGAGATAGTTATATTTCAACTTTATGGTCCTCAATCGAGCAAACATCCACAAAATCATTTATTTCTGAATGTTCAACAATATAATATATATATAATATAACAAGGTAATTCCTGTTATGTTCGTGGAATATCGTGCGTACCTAGGGAGGATAGGGGGAGGCCTTTTAAGCCAGTTCAACACAATTTTTTATATCGAGCTAAGCATATTTTTACTTTAGAACTATAGTTTTTGACGTTTGTAGAAAAAATGTTGTTTGCAACTCGAGCGCGAAATACTTTGGTCATCTCGACTATTTTTTAAACTCGGCTACGCCTCGTTGAAAAAATCAGATCTCGATCACCAAAGTAGCATTTCGCGCTCTAGATACACACACAACACACAATTTTACACAATTTTATTTTCACAAAAGAATACAGTGGTTAATCATTAACACCATTTCCTAAGATCTAAATTAACTATATACAAGACTTTTGTAGGTGAAATGGAGAGCTGTATGATATTAAATGACTCACTGGAGTAGACTCACGCTAGGCATTGTAGCCTGTTTTGTAATGTCTAAATCAGCAAGGCATTTGTACAAGTGTATGTCTCATGTAATGGTATTCGAATGGCATGTGCAGTATACTTATAATTTTTGTGAAAATCGATAGAGAAAGAGAAAAAGAAAATCTGATTAAGGATTCAAAAGAGATTGGATAAATTGAAACACTTGGAACTTGATGTGATAAATATCTATTTCAGTTGAAGAATATAAATTTATTTGGGTGCTTCTGTACATAATTTTTCGCTTCTTTCTTAAAAAGTTTGAGAGATGTAATATCTTTGAGTTTTTTTGGTAAGATGTTGAATATTTTAGGGCCGTAAAAAAGAAAAGAATTTTGGGTGACTGTTTTATTGAAGAATTCAATTTTTAACTCTAGGTTCATTTTTGATCGAGTTTCTCTTGAATTTGTCTTTGTGAAATCTGTTCGTTTATGGAACATTCTTATCAAACAGTTATAACTGTATAGTGAATGAATATTCATAATATTGGTTTCTTGATATAACTCTCTTGTTGAAAACAGTCTATTTTTTTTAAGATGAGTTTTAATAAAATATTTTGGGCTGTTTGTAATTGATTAATAGCAGTTTTAATAGCTGCACCCCAAGCAGAAATACAATATTTTATTATAGATTCGGCAAGAGAGGTGTAAAGTATGAGAAGATTTTTTTTGGATAGTATGTCACGTAGTTCGAAGAAAGTGTGCATTAATACTCTGAGCCTTTTTGTAACAAAGTTGATATGCTCCGTCCATTTTAGGTGTTGATCTAGTATAACTCCCAGGTATTTTATAGATGAAGTTTGTTCTACGGTCTGACAGTCACAAATATCTCGGTTATCACAAAACGGTATATGCATGTTTATTTTGAAGTTTTTAGGTTGGTCTCGGAGGGTAGGGGAAAAGGTTAGATACTTTGTCTTATTTACATTCAGTGATAGTTTATTATTGTTTAACCACATGTATATTTTTTGCAAATTTGTTTCTACTGTCTCTCTTATTTCTTGCCATGATGTACCGGTATAAATTATCGCAGTATCATCGGCATAGCATATTATATCGCCAACGAAATTATCGATTTTTGTTATGCTATTGATGTAAATAAGAAAAAGCACCGGTCCCAACACGGTCCCCTGTGGTATACCAGTGTGTACAGTCAGTTCGTCACTTATATCATTCCCAATCTTTACTCGTTGAATTCGATTTGATAGGTAGTTCTTCATCAATTCCAATGCATTACCTCGAATACCATAATTATTTAATTTATTCAACAATAGTTCGTGATCAACGGTATCGAAGGCCTTGGCCAGGTCCAGGAAAACGGCCAAGCATTTGGTTGACCTGTCCATTGCCTTCACACTATTTTCGAGAAAATTCATTATGGCATTCTCAGTGTTGGAATTTTTCACGAAACCGAATTGTTTGTCCGTTATTATATGGTGTTTATCCAGAAAATTAACGAGTCTTTTCTTGGCACATTGTTCAAATACTTTGGCTAGCGTATTTATGACAGATATTGGTCTATAGTTATTGAGCTCGGATTTTTTTCCCGCTTTAAAAATTGGTGTTACATTGCTGATTTTCCATTGCCAAGGAATGACGCTCGTTGAAAATATTTGATTGATGATGTGGACGATGGGGACTAAGATATTAGTATGAATTGATTTCAGTGTCTTTGAGTTTATTTTATCGGGTCCTGGTGCAGAATTATTTTTCAGATTCGCAATTATCGTTACAATTTCATTGTTAGTTATAGGTTCCAAAAATATGGATTGATTGATATTGATATCGCATAAAAAGTTTTCGGGTAAGTTTGTCTTTGGTATTTTTTGGCTCATGTTCGTACCTATATCTACAAAGAATTTGTTGAATTCGTTTGATTTTGCTACGTTATCACTAATGGTTATGTTGTTTTCTAGAATTATATCATTGTTCTCAATATTTTTCTTTTTATCTTCACCTCGTATATTGTTTATTATATTCCAGATTTTTTTATAGTTCGAACCTGCATTATTTATTTGGGATTTGTAATAATCGTTTTTCGTGTTTTTCAGCAGGGTGTTCAATTTGTTTCTGTATTTTTTATATTCTGATTCTGAAACTGTTGAATATTCTTTTATTAGTTTTCTCTTCAGGTAATCCCGATGCTTTATGGATTTTACCAGTCCTGTAGTAATCCAAGGTTTGATTTTGATAATTTGTTTATTGTTTCTCATAAATTGTTCAGTTGAACAAAAATAACTATTTTTTGATATTTTACTTATTACATAGTCAGCATGATCATTCAATGAAATTGTGTTATCTACAATAAATCCTAGATACTTAAACTTACTCACAATTTCTACATCATTTTCATTTATTTCAATTTTGACTTGATTCCTTTCAATGTTATGTTGTTTATATTTTGTAGTAATGATCATCGCCTTAGAGTTTTATTGATATTTAGTTTTAGTTTATTTGTTCCAAGGTACAACTCAATATTTTTCAATATGAATTATTCATCTTTTCAACAGCGACTTGCAAGGTTTTATCATAGGTATATATCAACGTGTCATCTGCAAAAAGGTTAATTACGTGATCTCCATGTACGTAATTGATATCATTTATATAAATTAAAAATAGTAAGGGCCCTAATACACTGCCTTGTGGTACTCCAAGATCATTTTTCATATTTTGCGAGTAGCACCCATTAATTTTTGTTATTTGACTCCTAAAACTGAGATAACTTTTCAACCACTTCAAAACTATATCACTAATACCATAATATTCGAGCTTTTGGATTAATATATTTCTGTCTATTGTTTCGAATGCCCAACTGCACTAGCTTTTCCTAGGGTCCCTTGATGCAAAGTGACGTATTTGTTATCTAAACAAGTCAACTGGATGTTCTCATCAGTTATGCAATTCAAATTCAAGAATAATTCGTACGTCCCTGGGACATCCTATGGACATCCAATTGATATCTCTCAGAGTTGCTGAGGATTTAGGTTTTCGATAGTTGTCCCAGGTAGATTCCTCAAGGACGTCCCTAGTTGGTCCACGGTACCAAATTCGAACGTCCTATGGACGTCCTGAATGTCCCGACAGGACGTCCTAAGGATATACATGGGACATAATTGTGTTATTAGGGTTGGATATTCCAGAGGCACGACATATATATTCTAGGAATATTTGATGGATGTTCGGAATATACCCTTCTCCCTCAGCATATTTAGAGAATTCTAAGAATATCTAAGGCTGTCTGGGCTGATGGATCATAGGTGAACGATTTCAATATCAGAATTTGTTACTATACTGGTCCAGTGCTGGCTGGATTATAAATAAAAGATTACAATATGAGATACAATGGACCGACGTTCGCCCGTTGCAGCTCAGCCGTTGCCGCTCAGCCGTTGCCAGCACTTTGCCGACTGATCATGCATTATTATTGGGCCAGAAAGCGGCCAGATATTCAATGTTTGCTGGGGCTCTTTAAGTCCTCTTCAAAAATGTCTACTATTTGGTCAAATGATCAAAGAAAACGCATAGCACTGTTGTTTGCTGGCCCTCATCTTTTGCTTCCATATACATTATTTGGACTGAACATTCATTTGTTGCAGAATTCCTGACAGAAGCTGTTTATTTGAGCGTTGATCCGTATATGAGAGCTTACGCGCCGAGGGTAAAAACTGGTAAAACATTTATGGGATCTCAAGTTGCAAAGTGAGTAAATGAATAAGATACAATATCTCCTTTGAATATCAGCTGAATATATTCGATGATATATGTGATTTTTCACCAAAGAATAGATGTAATAGCTGTTCTTTTTGTAATACAGAATATTCATGATGTATAGTATATTTATATTCACGATGGAACATAAGCGATGCAAAAAGCTCATTGTCATTTCCATTTCATAAAATGAACAACAATGGTAGATTTCCGGAGGAAAACAACTACTTTTCTGGCTACTGCTGCCACGCAGAACATTGAATTACATCCTCCCGAAATCTATGCATCGATTCGTATAAACGAATACTGATACTAGTGATTCTCTCCTGAATGCCTATTGATTTCGATTTAGCCAGGCCACGCTAGACACCTACAGACCGGTTTCGAGCTCTTTGACCTTCACAAATGAAGGGCAGTCTCCAGCCAGCAGTCAATTTCATGAACATTGTGTGGAAATTACTTCGAGCTTTTTGTATTCATTTGACATTTCATATTCTACTTTGAGTATTGTAGCTATTTCGTAGTTGAAATTACTCCAGTCGGGCAACCAACCACTCCTGTATGGGAATTTCAGTTTTGAAGTGTTTCTCTCCTTCTTTTTTACTCAGATGGCGTTCTCATATTGTTTATGAAGGGCGCCTGTGAGGAAAGATAATGCCGACTTGATTTTTGTTTGGGTATAGGCTACGCATAGTCGGTGGTCTTATATAGGACTGCCGGCTGGAGACTGCCCTGCACTGATGAGAGTCAAAGAGCTCAAAACCGGTCTGTAGGTGTCTAGCGTGGCCTGGCTAAATCGAAATCAATAGGCATTCAGAAAAGAATCACTTGTATCAGTATTCGTTCATACGAGTCGATACATTTCGGGAGGAAGTATTTCTATATGTTCTCTGCGTGGCATTATTAGCTAGGAGAGTAGTTGTTTCTTCTCTTGAAATCTACCATTGTTGTTCATTTCATGGACATTGTGTGGAAATGAGTGTGAGCTATTTATATTTATTCATTATTTCATTTCACTTTGAGCATTGTGGCTATTCCGTAGTTTAATTTTCAAGTTGTTGTCTCAAGGTAGGGCGACTTGTTATTTTCTAGTATATATATCACTGTCTTCAAATCGTCACAATTATTGATGATCCTGTAATTTCAAAATAATTTTTCAAGAATCATAGAAAGCAAGAATTCCAAATTTCCCGAAGGAAAACACGTTGTGGGGGAATTCGGCTGGCGAACCCACACGATATCAACGGGAAAACAATTGCCTAATGGATTCCCTGGTGCTTGGTTGATCCCCGATATTGGAAAGTTGCCGTTATCGCTAGCATTAGGGGTGTTGGGTATGCCAGGGTGAGTTCAAATGTATGGTTCAGTAAAATGCCACACGTATGAAAAAGAAATGTCGCAAAAAAGAACTTCATTTTATGTTCCACGAAAAGGGATATCCTGTAATGTTCAGAGAACATCGTGGAGTTTATATGCCTCGTGAAACACCTCCCTGGTGTTCCAGAGCCTTGCTGTTCGTTGGATGAACGAGTCTTTGGAAAGAGATGTTCGGGGTGCGAAGCCTCAACTCGTTGGGTTAATCTTGCGGGAACTGCCAAGGGAAGAACAATTGTTGATATTTCAGAAGAACATCGTCCATGAAAATATCTATAAAATAGAGCCAGATCGACAACTTTTTTACGGTGTTCCAGAGAAGTGAGTGAGTTTGTGAGCGGAGGCATCACCCACGAGACGAATTACATTTTTTGGACAGAATCCAACAGTTTCAGGGTATGTTTGGGTGCTGCGCTCCAAATATGGGAGCAGTTGTCCAGGACAGGTCGAATCTGTCACTTATAGATCATAAGCAGCTGACTGGAAGTGAAATAGCCCCTGGCCTGAAACAGAAAACCAAGTTTTTGGGACGCACTTTTTCCAATATGATCTCACGTGATTTTCCCAAGACAAGTCGTTGCTGATAGTAATACCAAGCCTCGAAATGAATGTCTTCGAAGGTATGGTTATTCCTGACAAGCTTATGTTGGGCACAGTGAGATCGGCTTTTCTTGAGAAAAGGCATGCTTGTGTTTTGTTTGCATATAAATCTACCAAGTTATTGGATCCTCAATAGAGAAGTCCATATTTGTGTTGTCAACATTTCTTCTTCGTTCGTTTCTGATTTGCCTGGCTGGTATTGGAGCCCTGGAAGAGAAGGCGGTATGGAGGATACTATCATCCCCGAAGCTGTGTACTGCACATGAAGTTGCTTTCAACAAATCGTTGATATGGAGTAGAAATAGTGTTGGTGCTAGAATTGATCCTTGCGGAACACCAGCATTCATGATAAGAGATTCAGATGAAACTCCGTCGACCACTACTCGTGATGCCAGACGCGATCGAATGCCTTGGCGATATCAAGTGCCACGGCTAAGGTTTCACGATATTTTTTAATAGACTGCTGCCATATTATGTGAGACGTAATAAGTGTAGTTTAGCTCAAAAACAACGCCCAAAACATTATTAATGCTTATGCCTATAGCTCAGGTATACCAATTCAAGAAGTCGTGTTTGCTTTTATCACATTGTAACAATATGTATGGCAAGCTTCATTAGAAAAACATAGGGAATCTGCAGCTGTGGTATTATAGATATATCGAAAGCATTATATTCGACCATGTTTGGCATCAAGTACTTCTCCACAAACTGATATCATATGGCTTAACCACCTGCGCCTGGGGAGAATACTTGCCATACATTTTAGAATGATGGGGGGAGTGCAGCGTTGTTAAATATCGCTTCTTCGTTCGAATACTAGCGCCTATTGAGACAGGAGAAAACAAATATAATCAACACGGCAAGTGCGAGTACAGCGAATAAATTCTTTCTCCATACTACAACGTTACTATTCGACTCGTGACGTAGTTGACTGTGCTTTTAAATCTCCCGTTGGCAACCCGGGTTCAATGCCTGCAAAGGTTGGCTTTTTTCATTCTGTTTTCCCAAGTGATTTTACAAAAAATATAAATTTTAGGAAGAAGGTTCATTCAAGGCTAATTGACGTTAGATGTTTTGAAAAAGTAGTATCCTTTTCCATCAGGAGGGATATTTTATTTCCTCCCTGAAAAAAGTACTGTATTTTTAGGAAGAAGGTTCATTTAGGCCGTAAGGTTGGATGGTTTAAAAAAAGTAGTGTTTTTTTTATGCAGGAGGAATATTTTTCTTCCTCCCTGAAGAACTTCTGTGGAGGCATTTACTGTTGGGAAAAAGTTTTGACAACATTATTAAAGGAAAGAAAAGCTATGCAGATGATATAATACCATACCATACTATATATGTTCTCTTCCAGAATCCCTATTTCTGATCAGGAAACTAACAACTTCCGTCGAAGGCAGGTCAACGCTGTCTATGAAGATCTAAAACTAAAACCCTAGGAACCAATAATAACTTTTATCTGAATTGAACGCCACCAAAACTCAAGCCTGTACTTTTTCTCGATAGGTGGAACTCAGTGTGCCTATCGTCCCTAGGTATACGCACGATTTCCTTCGAACATTATAGGAATTTTATTGCGTGCGCTCCAAGATATAAAAACTGCCTGGTATAACGATGTCTGGTACCATCATTCTCACGAAGTCCACCATATGTATGCTCAGTTTTCCCATCAGTAATTCTCTTCGATAGAAAAATCATGTCAGATTCACCATTGAAGCTGCTTCGCAGAACTTGGATTTTTAGTCCGTGTCAAAAGTTACTTTACATCTCAACAGCTTCCCATGATCCAGAAAGCACATGCAGATACGGCCTTTTCAGAATACTGTTTCCACAGATTGGGTTCAGCACCCAAACATACGCTGATGCTCTTATAGATTCCATCTAAAAAAGGGTCAGTCACCTGGTGCATGGGTGAAGACACACTCACTTATCTTTCAACACCATTGGCACACCGTAGGAATAAAGTCCGACTTTTCACATTTCTATTGATACTTCCACGCGGGAAATGTTCTTCAGATATCTCTGCTCTCATGCCATCACTAGCAATACCAGTAAGACGAACTCGACAATCCCAGTCAGCACATCTCGAGGATATGTCGAACAAAACTCGTTTGTCTATAGAACGGCAAAGGAAATATCCTCAAGAACTTCAATCTCCAACGTTGAGAAAAATCTGAATACTCACCTGCTTTCCCTATCTTCTCTAGGTACGCATGATGTTCCTCGAACATAATAGAGATTCCCTTTCGTGCACTCCAAGAGTTGAAAAAAATGCGTTTATCACCTTCTAACAACAAGCAGCTATTCGATTGATCAATATACAGATACATTTATTCTATGAAAGTTCATATGCGTTGATTTCAGGAACACGGCATATTTCGGATTCACAGAATTGTGCCAACCGAAGCCCGACGAAACTGTCATTGTGACTGGCGCTGCAGGGGCTGTAGGTAGTTTGGTGGGCCAGATAGCCAAAATAAAGGGCTGCAAAGTCATAGGAGTAGCAGGGTCTGAGGAAAAAGGGAAATGGTTGGTAGATGAGCTCGGCTTCGATAGTTTCATCAACTATAAAACCGATAATATCAGAAAAAAGATAAGAGAGTGTGCTCCGAATGGAATTGATTGTTATTTTGATAACGTAAGTTACATTTGTGTGAATAAACAATAGAATACTGAAAAATGATATACTATCAAGACTCCATGGACGTTATGGTGATGCCAATCAAATATTGGGAAAAAAATTGCACAGGTAACGATTCCTTACTGCAGTAATCAATTCTTTTAGGTTGGAGGAGAAATAAGCAGTACCATTATGTTATATATGAATACTTTTGGGAGGATTGCTGTTTGTGGAGCTATTTCTGGATACAACGACAAACAACCTCCTAAAGGTAAGAGGACCGTCAAAAGTAATATGGAAGGTGGGGAATACATATAGTTTCTGTATGAGGATATAAAGTTTTAACATTTCCTTCAATAACTTACGACATTTACTATTGACTGTTGAAATCACAAAACTAATAAAAACAGAACAAAAAGTCGTAGTTTTAAGTATAAGTACGTTCCTACATAAGTATATGTCTGTAAGAATCAATAAACAATCTCTTTTTCTGAAAATCACTGGTGGCACTTTTACAAATAGATCGGAAACACTTTGGAAATGATTCTAGACTTGATTCAAGACTGTTCAATTAGTTTTTTTTTTTTTTTTTCGCCGAGGTGGTTGAAATCTTTTATAGACATCATATGGGTCCAATCCCCCATATGATAGTGTGGGAGTCCCCTCCATGGTATACCCACTAAACACTCCACCCCGTTGTAGGCTCCGACGACACTTAGGCCTAGTGGCCCATTGTATCTCACCTACATGCCGTTATCAATTTCACCACATACGACTCATGGTGCCTATTAAGGGCCACTTCAATATGAAAGACCCTTCTCGTTCAGGTTCCTGAAGATTGCTCTTCCGATCCCTGTTCTCGTCTACGAAGAAGGCCAAAAGTTTTCCTTCTCCTACGATTGACGGGGGAAGGGGTTGGTCCAGCCCTGTGGTGCCCCCTGCACAGGGCTAAGGCTACTTACTCTGAGATGTCGCCCTGTTTCCCAGAGGCCCCGTTAGCGACACCTTTCCTCGGTGCCATCCATCCATCGCCACGGGTTCCCACAGCTTGGATTAGGTTGCCAGAGCCTCGTTGACCAGTCCTCGACCACCTAGACAAACATCAGCAAATCGCCCCATCCCTGCCACAGATGTCCACAAATTGTCCCATCTGGCAGAATATAGCAAAGATGGTCCCAAAATGCTTCATCTATCAAGCGGCCGCGGCCTGCCTTCCCCACACCACTTGATGGCGAGGTTGGGCTTGGAGGGGAAGAGGAAAAGAGAAGTTGGCCAAGAAAGGCCGATAGAAAGATTGAAAACGGAAGAGAGAAGAGGATATCACCCAAGACAAGTTGAGGTATGGTGAATATCCGGCTAGGGTACCTCGGCTTCACCATTCCCGTACTCACAAGTTGTGAGCCCCTGAGGGGATTGCCAGAGCCTCGTTATCAATTCGCGGCCATACAAGCAGATGTTCACAAATTGCCCCATCCTTGCACTCAGATGTCCACAAAACTGTCCCATCTGAGTGATGACAGCAAAGATGTTCCCAAAATGCTCAATCTGCCGAGCAGCCGCGGCTTGTCCTCCCCGCACTATGGTGAGGTTGGGCTTTAGGGGAGAAGGAAAAGAGGAGAAGTGACCAAGGGAGGCCGATGAAGAAAAAGATTGGAAACTGAAGAGTGAAGAGGATACCATCAAAGACAAGTTGAAGATTAATGAGTATCCGGCTAGGGTACCTCGGGATTGCCATTCCCGTACTCACAAGTCGTGAGCCCCTGAGGGGGTTCAATTAGTTGAATGAGTTGAATTCCCATTGGAAAAACTTGAGAAATTGACATATCGTATTGGAGTCAATCACAATCAATTCAAAGACTGATCAAGACCCACTTAAGAGTGTTGCGAGACTGAACGAACGAATTAATCCTTCTGTTTGGTTTTCATGGGTATCAATTAAAATAAAGTGCATAAAAACGATTTCGATGTTTTCGGAAACATAATTTACAACCTAATGGAATTTCGTCATCATTCATCTCTCCAAATTCAATCTAATTTCACTCTATAGATTATACTTGAAGTCAAGTGCAGACAGACGATTTCGATATTCCAAATCATTTACTCCAAGCTCCACGACTCTGCCGATGATCACCTCTTGACCTTCAAGTTTGAACTCACTTCGCTTTTGAATTCCCATTATTTTGACTTTCAATCTGTCTTATTATTATCGCTTGAGAAAAATATTTTTGGCTCATATATCGAAATGGTTATGGCCCTAATTTGAAACGACGTTCCACTTTCGAAGTGCATTTTTCTTCTCGTGATAATCTTGATTGAGTCCCCGTTAAAAAAGGTCACAAGGACCTTATTAGTATTCGTTAAGTAGGTACCCTGCCCTGAGAACGCGTACGGGACCCTTCATGTTTATGAAAACCCGTTTATTCTCAAAATATTTTATACCTCGACAATGATATCATGATGTTGGGTATTGGCACCAATCTTTAAAAATGTTTCACCTCCATTAACTTCTTAATTGGGCTGAATAAGATTAGTGGTGCCCGAGATAGTCTCGTTTTCGAGAGTCTCGCATGGTCTCGTCTCGTTTTCGAGACAAGACTCGAGACGAGACTCGGACAAGATGAGACGAGACTTTTGTAGGTCTCGTCTCGATTCTCGTGCAAGACTTCTCGTGTCTCGTGCGAGAGTCTCGCAGGTAAATATTTCTGCGTGCCGACTGCAGACTTGAGAATTTCATTCATAATACAACATATTTAGAGAGAATTCTATAAGAAAACATCGGAATTGCCCTGATAATGAATCTGCACGATGTTTGTTATGTCTAAACGACTGGCTAAAAAACAAAAACATTTGCAATCGTGAAGGCTGATCTGACTGATAAAGGTTTTTTTTCTCCAAGCGGCAGGAATAGTGACTTTTTCCTGCCGCTAAACAGGCAGAAAAGGTGAACTTTTACTGCCTAGGCAGAAAAAGTTTGTTGCTATGCAACGTTCCAAGAAATTATAATGAAATTAGTAATCAAAATTGACACTGACATTGGGTGAACACAAAATGATGGAGTTTTCAATAAAAAAAGTACACAAAATTGGTTTTATATCATTTGGACAAAAAATTGTATGTTTCACACGATAGCAAATGTAGATTGACTATTTTTCTACCTAGTGAAACAAATAACTATTTTCTTAAATACATATATATCTCAAATATAAGTAAAATAATATATGTTGGATTAAAGTTTTTGTTTTGTTTATTTGTTTAAAATATACGTGTTACTTTTTATTTCATTTTTATAACTTTCGAATATATAATGCTATGTTTTTTTTTCTTGTTTAGTAGTATGATGTAAGTATGAACCTATCAGGTATATACTTACTTTTCTATAAATAATGTTATTTTTGTTGTAATTTTCTCTTCCTACTCCTACTTTATACCTAAAAAGAAGGTGAAGGTACATATCCCGTACTAGACTGGAACAAGATTATGCATGACGAAGTTGCGAGACGAGACTCGAGACAAGACTTCATATTCCATCGGCGAGACGAGACGACACTTTATGGAAGTCTCGTCTCGTTGGTCTCGTGTGAATCACTACTGAAGATGGACTGTTCTAAGTCTGAAACATGTCCCCTTGAATAAACACATCATTGAAAAAGTGTGGAGATGACTTCGAGCCTTTCTTCTTTCCTATGAAAAACTCCACATCACTTTGAGCAAACATAGACTTCTACCAGAGATTCATTATTTCCTACTTTCCAGCCACCATTGTTCAGTACCCTATGACGTTCAACCAACTGAGGATGGAAGGATTCATCGTGCACAGGTGGATCGATAGATGGTTCGAGGGCATCGATCAGAACAGGAAATGGATCGACGAGGGAAAATTGAAGTACCGGGAGACGGTCACAGAGGGCTTCGAGAATATGTTCCACGCTTTCACGGACATGCTACGAGGTGGAAATGTGGGAAAGGCTATTGTGAAAGTTTGATTCATTCGTGATAAGAATATATTTTTTCATAAAATATTATCGCTTCTGAAGTTTCTTACATTCATTACTATTGATGACCATCAAAAAATAATGGGAGACCGATACATATAAACGGGGAAATAAAGGATATACTCATATTTTTACGAAAGCGTAGTTCGGCCACCACAATAAATATTTTGATAATTCTGAGATGGAAGTCAGAATTAGTATATTTCGGAGATAAAAGTCACAATAATACCATAATTCGGAGAATATTCGTCAGAATTATTCTATAATTCAGAAATAGAAGTCCGAATTATAGTAATGGGCGAGTGGACTGCATTCATCTACTACACTGTGTCGTTAAGAACCTGAATTAATTTTTACAATTCTTCTCACACTCTTATTATGTGAATACCCAGGCAACCAGATGACGAATGATCACGTCACTGTGACGTCCCTAATTGGTGATTTTTCGTCAGAGACGTCACACACCAATTTATGACGTCACTATGACGTACTTTCTATGACGTGATAATCACGTCATCGTCTCGATGTCGAGTGAACGTTACTTAGATGGGTAAAAAAATACGTCATTTTCATGACGTTGCAAGGGACGTCCTGTCGACGTCCATTTTTCCCAAACCTTCTCTAAACCATGGATACTTATATATTATCATGTGGAACAGAAGTATAACTCATGAAAGCAAATCAACATGCAAGTTTTATTGGAATTATTGATATACCCGAAAAGTAGGAGAAAACTTTTTTTTCTCTAAAAAACTTTGACACAGTGGTATATCTAGGAAACCAACAAGCTATGTATATATACAAATGATTGTTGAGGTAAACCTATATTGATACCATTACTCTCATAACATTGCAGTGACGTATCTATGACGTCTAAAAATCACGTCGAAATTTTTTCAATAATTTGCTATTCAGATTTTTGTTGGGTGATAAAGAATGCATCAATATACATTATTCAACAAAGTGAAGCCAAATCCGCCAACATCATTTCCATTTTTATCAAACTATTCTTTGTTTGCTTACATCTCGCCGACACAAACTACATAATTTTTGATACAAATAGGAGTAACTGATTGCATTCTGATGGAGATGCATACTAAAGGATAGCGCAAGCAGACTCAACAATGCATAATCAATATTATCTAATGTCATTTTGACGTCATTATGACGTCAGTCGGACGTCACAGTTTGGTGACGACGTGAGTGATATGACGTCATTGGGCTGTGACTTATTCACGTCATCATCACGTCATGCGACGTCAACTACTGACGTCAATTTGGTCATTCATGTGACGTAAAAAAGACGTCACTGCATGGAACGTCATATGATGGTTGCCTGGGTAATGAGTTTATGCGTTGTTCGAAATTGTTGAATTTCGGAGCTCATTTCAAACGTTGCGTCATGGCCACTATTTGGCGATACGTCGAATAAATGGTGATGTCAGCTTTTATGCTGTTTTTTTATTGGTCAGATGATATCTTCCATTCCCACTCACGAAGCAATGTCGCCAAGTCACCAATTATAATCAAGTTATCAAATTGATGTTAGAGTCCTGTCGTTGAATAAGACATAGACGGAACCCATGATATTATATAGTTCATTCTTGACTCTTTCGAGCAACCAGCATGTCCAAATATATACTCCATACTCCATAACAAAATTTCTTGTAAATGTTGGAGACTTGGCAATAATGTGCTGAATGCTGAGAAGGGACAAGACCACGCCCACAAGTCGTGCGCGCTATGTTGTCATGTCAATCAATATAATTACTATTTACACAAATGTATTATATGCAATACGCCACAAATCATGAGGGGACATTTTCATTGCTAAATAGAAATATTGATTGAATGTTTGAATAACTAATATTTCTGAAGTTACCAGTCGTATTTCTACACATGGCAACTGTGCTATGGTCTGTCCCTACTTACGAAATCGTCACAACAGTTTTTACTCGCGGTAAATTTTCATCCGTTAGAAAATTACCGTGGCATTATTGATGAATTAAGCACCTAAAAATCGAACAAAAAATTCTGAGAAAATATAGAATCGAAAGGTATTTGAGTGATGATTCTATTTGAGAAATGAGAAAAATTAGTCCACTTGATGCCGATTCTGAGATAAAAGTCCGAATTTTATAATTCTGAGATAAAAGTCCGAATTTCATAATTCTGAGATAAAAGTCAGAATTATTATAATTCGGAGATGAAAGTCTCCAAATTATTGAATAATTCGAAAATGAAAGTGCGAATGATTATCTCCGAAATATCATAATTCGAAGATAAAAGTTCGAATTGTTATGATTCGGAACTAAAAGTCCGAATAATTATTTAAATTCGCTAAGATAAAAGTGAGAATTTCCATAAGTCGAAGATAAAAATCCAAATTATAATAATTCTAACTTTTATCACCGAATGATAGAATGAAGTTCTGACATGTATATACAAATTATAATAATTCTGACTTTTATATCCGCGGATAATAATATAATTCGGACTTGTATCTCAAATTATTTCAATGCGGACTTTTATCTCTGAATCATAGTATAAATCTGACCTCAACCTCCGAATTATTCTGTTTCTGACTCTTATCCCAGAACTATAAAAATATTTCTTGTAGTATGGCTGCTCTACACTTTCGTATCCCTAATAACACAATAACATATGTAGGACGTCGTAGAAACATCCATATGGGATGATAGGAACATCTCTGGAAAATCCCTATTTTCCTTGGGACATTCTTGGGATGTTGCTGGCAACACCCTTGTCAGCATTTGCGATGTCTTATAAACATCCCATCAGAATGTTTGTGGGATGTACCAGAGACATTCAGGGTACTTGATATGGAACATCTTAAAGAAACTTCTACGATGTTTTTTGTTTGGTGACAGTAATGGATGACACGGTATGAATTATTTTCAATCTGAAATCCTGAAAATGGACGACCTATTTCCAGATATAAAGTAACAATCCGAATCGGAAAATATAAGGTCGGTGCGGTCCAATAACTAATGGAAGATGATAACAGTTGTTTATTGAGGCTCATATTTGTTGGCGCTGGGCCGACGGCTGTTAGTAACTTTTAGCAACGTAGTTGTACCGCCATCTATCGGCTCGTATAAGAAATAAATTCAGCAATAAATATGCTGGAGAGATATATTTCAATTTAGTCGTTTATTACATGGTTCATGAAGTCGAGCAGGTACTTTGTACTTTGGTAACCCTATTCAGGATTATATTTATATAGTATAATTATTGCAATTTGTCATCGGTGAAATTAGCCGGCTTTGGTATAGGTATAAGTATATGAGTACGAATACAGTTTTGACTTCCATTTTTTACCAACTCTTCAATGTTTCAAATGACACAGTTGTTTGAACTATTCAATCATGTCAATCATCATTAGCGAATATGGAACCATGATATTGTTTATAAAAAAAAGATCAAATGGGATGTTTCTAGAACATCCAATGAAAACATCTGATGGATGTCCCAAGAGGAACATCTCTGGGATATCGTACCTAAGTCTGAAACATTGGGATATTTGTATAGGACCTTAGCGGGATTAGAGCGGGATGTACCAGCAAGATCCCGTGTTGTTAGGGATATTTATGCCTCATATACGTCGTGGACCAAAAATGACAAAAATCAATGCCAAAATGTCGTCTTTCTGAGTTCCCATTCTCGAATGACGCATTCGAAAATTTTCGATAGACAAATTGTAGAGTGGTCTTAAGCAGTCGACATTTCGATGTCGAATACGAGATTGAATATTCGACTGATTTCTTCACTTGTTAACTTGGAAATGGCAGTTTCATTGATAGAAATTGAAAATTTGGAAAATCAAGAAAATCATCAACGGCCACTAGAGAACGTATATACCTAATGCGATCAGATTTTTATCGGACATAAAATGTATAAAAACATTAAGGTAAAGAATTAGTGAGAGTCCATTGCACTGCTAGTGAGTGCTAGAACCATTTCTGGTACAGGGACATATAGGTCTTCTGCATGTTTTTCGCCAGATAAAAGTGGCGCATTCTATTTTTCTTCCATCAAGTTGAGTGTTTCCTTTTAAGATGAAATACAATAACCTTTTGCTTTTCACTGCCATTATTATTTCAAAATATCATTGACATAACCTCCATCGTAACAACAAAGAAACCACAACACATTGGCACAGAACACATTCGAGAATCGTTAATTCCATGTTGCCAGTTCATGCTATTCGACAAATTTTGTCTCATGCGAGTTTGAAGTCGAAAGCAATTGAGAATACCACACTTTAACGTTGTGCGACAATTTCTATCGACACATGTCGCATACGACATATTTCGTTCGACATTCGAGAATAGGCCCCCTGGTATACCTGGGTGGTTTGTATAGCACATACATTCTCCATGAAAACTCACCTGTCAGTTTGGAAATGTCCTTTTTGGATCAAATTCCTTGAGGCGAAATAAAACATTCCATTTTCGACGAAGTCGTATTGGAAGTCTTGTCGTCTTGGTCGTTTTCTTGGATCGAAATTCAAAGGTATCACCCGATCACCGTCTCTTCTCCATCTCAATTTGTAAGATCTAGAAAGAATATCACAAGGAAGAGTGATATCGAAATAATGATAATAATAATTATTTTTGGTGTGAAATTGAATGATGTTCAAGTTCATATCATATTTGGATTGAAAAATCTTACCTCAAAGAAGTTATGTTCAAAAACTACTCGGTACGAACCTTGTAACTAGCACCCTCTATGAGAGTCAGATATAAAAACAAATTCATGTGATGTGTCAGATTTCGAGAAACATCCATACAAAATTTCATCACAATGGTGCCAGTAGTTTCGGAATAATCGTGAAAAATGTGTGAAAAAATAATTTTTTCAACACCTTGTATCATGAAAACGGATGCCATTACATTTTTTCACTGAGCAAACCCAACTGATTTTGCAATGTTCTACCTACCCTAGCAAGAGGGTTAGGTTTTTTTAAACACCCTGTATATCTATACATGATCGCTTCGAAATGAGTAATTAGAGTTGGACACATCAAAAACAACAAACAAAGGACCTCACCCAGCAAACATCGAAAGGCGGTAGAAAGCCGGGCCCATGTCGAGAACGGCGGGCAAATGTCGATGTCGGCATGCCTCGAAAGGCCCTCCATATAATTTCTAAGGATTATGTGACGAAGGCAGAATGTACACATACTTATGATAGGCCTCTGTTTCCCAGCCGCTATTCTGCCGCTGTATGTATCCAAGTCCAAGGGCCATCAAAATTTCAACGGAGTGTGCCATCATCACTCACTCAACGTTGGCATCCCTCGCTAGCGTGAGTTTTTATTTTGATCATTTTGCAGTGGTAACAATGATTCAGTATGGCGTATATTAATTTCTTTGTTATGTTGTTTCAACACTCTCAACAGAGATTTTAGTACTGTGATCAGTTCGTGTTTGGTTTTCTTGTGGATTTTTATACAAAATGGAAGGGAATTGACATAAATACAGGGTGAGTGAGGAACAAACATATAAACAAACTTGCACAGCTAAATAATCCTCCTATTTTAGATGATAATTTTACAAACACCATTGGACAAACAGATGCAATAATAGTTTGTACATGTTCAGCGGATACACAAGAATATAATAATATATGAGGACTTTGAGGATGCATGAGCTTTCATTGCATATGAATCATAAATAGATTCTCTGAACGAAAACAAAGAGTACCTACTTGAAGAAACAGTTATATTTCAAGAATTACTGTAGGTATGTATAAGGTTGCATGTTTTGGATTAGTAGAAAATGAAATCATTCAATCTTTCAGCTACAAAATCAACAACCAGAAGCCCATGAATCACAGATATTAATAAAGAAATCACACAATGATCCAGACTATGATATGAATTTCTTCATGGTATATGATATCTCACTTCCAGGCAAGGTTCTCCATATCTGGGAATTGTTTTCTTGTGGATTGAACTCCATTGTTGACGATTACTTGATCAATATAACTGATTACCTACATAACTTTCAAGTTATTCAGTATATGTACATAGGTGTGTTGTAATTTTTGACAAAGAGTTGGCAACTTGAAACAAGTGGAAAAACAAATAAGTACTTATATATCCTGGATGATGAAACACAAATACCTATTATTGGAAATTGTAGGAACCTTTTCATAATGAGTATACAGAGTGATACGTGAAACTAGAATTGAGATGTTTGATGTTTCCATAGTTGTGATATGTATTGGTTGTGATCATGGCAATAATATACACACATGGATATTTTCAGTTCTTGTTTTTGTATGGGGTATTTATACTGCTAGTTTCCTGGAAATAACTGTGATATCAGGATGCTATCTCAGAGATTTTTATGCAATTATTCAACAACTTCAGGTAAGGAGTGAATTCCACATTTCTGTTATACCCAGAGGATTCACAAAAAACTCGGAGACCTCAATTCTCTTTTTTGAAGTTCCACATTTTTCAACCAGTTTGAAAATAAAGAGGGTGATGAAGATCTGAGTGAAAATAAGCTATTTTGCTTGCTGATATAAACTGGGACACCTATCAAAAAACCTATTTTCACTGAGATATATGCATTACCCTGTATATTTTTTGACAAACCTAGTTGAAAAATAGGACATCATGAAACAGAATACCATGAATATTGATTTCATTCAACCCCGTTAACCAACGGCCCTGAAAAACTCCTCTATCGGGGGAATAAAAATACTCAAGCGGCCAATTAATGGCAGTCTCTGAAAAGTCTCAATCGGGCCGAAGATATGCCATGAATGCGGTACATTGAGTACTTGCTTCTGCCCACCAGAAGCCCTGCAATGTAATAAGCGGCATGCTGATGGCTCTAGAGAGGCGGTCGGCTGTCGGCCGCCGGGACACGGGCTAGCCGGCCCAATTTAGTTGTACAATAGAGGACCGCTGTTACCGCTCGCCGGCAAGTTCCATTGTAACTTTAGAGGGCCGCAAAAATCATGTTTGCTGGGCAAGTTCTCGATTTGAAATGAGCACTCTGGATGACGCCATGACGCTATCCCGCGCTGGCGCTGATTGGTTGGAAGAAACGAGACAACCTATCTCTTCTACAAACCTTGGATTGCACCAACTTCGATAAACATAACATGGCGTGGGTGAATATTTTGCTGAGTTTAGTGTAGTGCCGTACCAAAATTACAGGCATCAATGTGACAATTGTGACCAATGAGATAGTCTCATCAAGGTTGGTAGAACTAAATGTTGATCATAAGTTCTAGGGATCACGCCATCTAGCATTCAATATGTGAAACCCACGTCATTGTCTGCAATTAAATTGTTTATATCAAATGCAAGAACGCAAGAACCCAGTCTGACGAAACAAATGGAGAGTGAGCGTACCAGGAGGTTTATTTCATCAATCGTCGAATAAATGGTAAAGTCAGATTTTATGCTGTTTCGTTATTGGTCAGATAATCTTCCGTTTCTACTCATGAAGCAAGGTTCTCAAATCACCAATTATCATCAATTTATCAAAAAGATTAAAGTCCTGTCAATGATGGAAATAAGTAGATGGTGTACTCACTGATGCGCTTTTGTTTCAGAAATTCTTCTCGACCTCCTGATGAGGGTCTCGAGAACAATGATTTTAGCGGTTTTCGGATAGATGGCGGCATTGCACAATCATGACATCTGTCAATTTTCAAATTGCCGCAGATTTTTTGAATTCAGAGTTATATAAACCCACTGTTACATGTGTTCCTCGTACCTAAAATGCCATTTGCCATTTTTTTCCACTCGTCACATGAGCAATAGCAGCTGCAGTATCACCATCATCTAGCGAAAAAATGTAGATTCAACGTCAATCATGTTAGGCGGTCGAGTGATTTTTCTTAAGTTTTCAATACGTAAAAATGGCCCAATACGCGCACCGTCTACTTATTTCCATCATTTTCCTGTCGTTGAATTGAACACGAGATAAAACATAATACAAGGAAGCCATGATATAGGTATAATAGTTCTTATCGGGATTTTTCGTCTTTAGGATTTTTTGTGTCCAAACTATTCATTATCGGTCAAAACGGCTTTCATGTCCCTATCGGGTGGTTCAAGGTTCAGAAGTCTGATCACGCTGTAGCTATTCCAATCAAATGTCAGCAGTAGGTGGTATGAAAGCCGCTTTGACCGATAATGAATAGTTCCGACACAAAAAAAAATCTTAGAGTTGAAAAATCTCGATTTTGAACACACGATATATCTCTGTCAACATACCTGGATCCCGAGAAAGAACATTCCTTTCCATATTTCATAGCATCCACTCCTTTTTGCAAGTAAAATGATTTCACAAACGGAGACGTACACTGAATCAATCCCAAAATATCAACTTCTCGATGATGCTGAAGAAATTCTTGCACGGCCTCTAACGAACTTGCTGTGTCTGAAGCTGACTCCGTAGATCTCCAATGTATGTTCACATCCCCTACGAAGTCATCAAATACAGAGGGTTGCCACAAAACTCCCTTATACTGAGCCCCTTCCAAACTTCACCAACGATTTTATTCAAGGACATACGAGAGGAGCATAGACGCAAGAGTAAACAAATCCATTTTTAACACAAAAAGATATAAATATTGTATCATGTGAACATCGATCATCTCTTTGAAATCCGATGTCCATGCCTAGTTTTCACCAAAAGTACACAATTCCTCGTATAATGGTGTGGTTATTAATTTTCGTCAATTTCAGCAAGAATTTCTTACAAAAAACAACAATGCAGAAAATTCGAATGAGGTGTTATAACCCATGCAAAAGTGAACAAATCTTTCGACAAATCAAGAGATATTCCAGAACTCCTTAATAAATATTAAATTTTATACATAGTGTACCTACCATATTTTTTATTCAACAGTATAAATAATGGTTAACGCAGGTTGTCTACATTTTTTCAACGCTGCAAAATGTTAAGAAATTTTGGGTAATAGCTATATGGGCAACGATAGAGATCTCCACGCCTGCAAACATATATTTCACTAAATAAATACAAAAAGCTCAAAGTCATTTCCACACAATAATGTTTATAAAATGAACAACAATAGTAGATTTCGGGAGAAAAACAACTACTTTCCTGGCTACTGCCACACAAAAAATTGAATCACATCCTCCCGAAATCTATGCATCGACTCTATTTAGCCAGGTCACGCTAGGCATCTACAGACCGGTTTCGATCTCTTTAACTCTCATTCGTGCCAGGCAGTCTCTAGCCAGCATCAGTCCTAGGACCGCTTACTCAGCGTAGCCTAGCCAAACATAAATTAAGTCGGCATTATATTCCCTCAGAGGCGTCCTTTATGGATAATATGAGAGCAACGCCATCTGACTAAAAACGAAAAAAAAAAACTCCAAAACTGAAATTGCCATACGGGAGTGGCTAGTTGCTCGACTAGCGTAATTTCAACTACGAAATAGCCACAATACTCGAAGAACTGTTGAATAAATACAAAAAGCTCAAAGTCATTTCCACAAAATGAACATAAATGGTATAGATTTTGGAAAGAAACCAACTACAACATTTTGAAGAGGAATACATATACTTGCAACGGCTCCTCATCCCAGGCAACCATAGAACGAATGATCACGTCACTCCCAGTTAACACAGATTGATATAAGAGAGATATAAGAGGGCATCACATTCATGCCACACATCCGTGACTCGAAATGGGAGTCCTACTGAAATCACAATGACTGCTATTCCGGACCCTTTTGGTCATTTTATGATTCACATATCATATGATACCAAATGAAACTCACAGTACGTATTAACCGACTCCTCATTCAACGTCAAAATTGATTGATTCCGTTCTTTACATAAATATACTAGAATATGAGGTTCCAGTAAGTCTGTTAATTGGTTGCTAGGCAGCCTCACGAATTCACATTGGTACATTTTAAGTCTCGAATCCAATAAAATATGACGAATATTGCGAATGTTTTGTAACATAAAGAGTCCCCTGTCAATACCAATGATGTTTTCTTGTAATTCGCATTGTTACCTATAGCGAGACATGAATGTAACATCCCAGGAATGTCTGTGTTTATTGGGCTGTGACGTCCCTAATTGGTGATTTTTCGTCAGAGACGTCACAAACCAATTTATGACGTCACTATGACGTCGAGTGAACGTCACTCAATACGACGTCAGTTTCGTGACGTTGCAGGGATGTCGTGTCGACGTCCATGTTTCCCAGACCATATCTATAATCCATGTATTTATACTTACCCTGTGAAACCGTTAGTTGTGTGACGTACCTATATGTTCAGGATGGGCATTTTCAGTTTCGAAAAGTTTTCAGAAAAGATCGTTTCTTCATTAATTTTACACACATATATAGAAACTTATTGTACGTCTTCGACGATAGAAGTATAAATCATTAAAACAAATCAACATGCAAGTTTTATTGGAATTATATTATATACCCAATAAAAGTGAGAGAAAACTGTTTTTTAAACTTTGACACCCTGTATATCTTTGAAACCAATGAATGATAATATAGGTGCACCTATATATTGAAACCGTCACTTTAATGACGTTGTAGTGACGTATATATGACGTCTAAAAATCACGTCGGTGTGACGTACCAACTTGGTGAGCTTCGTCATTCATCAAATTTTTTAATAATTTGCTATTTACACTTTTTTTGGGCGACAAATAATGCATGAATATACGTTACTCAACAAAGTGATGCTAAATTCACCAACATCCTTTCCATTGCTATCAAACTATTTTTGATTTGCTTACATCTCGCCGACACAAACTATATAATTTTTGATACAAATACGAGTAACTGATTTCATTCTGATATGGAGATATGCGTACTGAGGGATAGCACTGCTGAATAGACGATTGAATTGACATGACACCGGAGGACTACCAAGCAGACTCAACAATGCATAGTCAATATTTTATGTCATCAGAGGTCAGTGGTGATTATCACACCATGTTCGAGAAAACTTTTGTACGTGTCATCACCAAATTTAAACGTCATTTTGACGTCATTTCGACGTCAGTCTGACGTCACCTTGGTCATTTAACTGACGTAAAAAGACGTCACTGAAACGTCATCTGGTTGCCTGGGATATTGCATAAAATAGTCTACAGCAACTATAATGGATTCAAATTTTCCATATTAGTGAGATTCTTGGGTAGTTTTATTTTATCCTCTCGATATGCAGAAAAGTACGACATTGCACACGCTCATGTGTGCAGAAATGTACTACTCTGCCCTCGCTCGTAGGGAATCATCATTCCGCCAATGTTCACTTGAATACGCAACTTTTTTTAAATTCAACCAACTTCGCATCATTTACCATTTTCAATAATGAATGCCAATCGTGGCACGATATCAACAATGCTGCCTATATTATCTGTATTGCCATTTATTTAAATCTCACCATTCTCAATATTATTTGCGATGAGATCGTGGTCTGTCGATACCCAAATGGAATTGACTCCAACCAGTTTATGCAGCTCACTCAATGATATTTCCAATAGAGTCAAATTTCCTATTTTCGAAAGGTTTTTCAATTTGATGCCTTTGGAACCTCCCCTTGCCAAAATCAGAACAGCAACGTGTGGATTCCCGAATAGTTTCAAAGTTCTGAAGAAAAATGGGATTATTATATATAACAGGGTGATAAAGTATCAATTATCAAAGTATATACTACACCATGAGAAACCTGAAGTTGACCAAAACATGCAGCAGAGCTTATCCCTAGATAGCACAATGTCATTCATAGAACGTTCATAGAATATTTTCCGGGAGTGTGTAAATATCCTCAGTATATTCCCACAATATTCTAGAGACAATTGACACTTTTTCTCAATTCGTCTCAATACAGTAAGGCACAACAATCTTGAAGAACTTCGTGCAGCAACAGAGGCGCAGTTTTGCAGAAATAACAAAGACATCATCCTTCAATGATTTTGAATGCATATAAGACTTATTGAGAAAGTGTGGGAGGGAAAATGGACATCAATTTAATTCAATGAGTGAGTTACTGAATAATTTTGAAATTCAATCGTTTCAGTAAATATTCAATCATGTGCTTATTCTAAATTATGAACTTTTTATTACTATTTATTTGATGCTATCAGGTAACATCATTTTCTGTTTTGTTAGTTAATTAGTGTTGGTATTGTTTTTGTCCTCTTCATGAAAAATCAAAGGAAAATATTCCTTCAATTGGAACTTTTTTATATGAAAAATGTTTTAGTGATTTTGGAGCATTTTTGAAATGTATATATCATACTTCTTTTTATACCTCAGTAGATGGTCATGCGTTTTTTCTACAAGATTGAACATAAAAATTATCAGTGGCGTAGAAAATATCGGAGAAAAAGTAAAACAACCTCCTTTGGCGCCTCACTGTGGATCTAAGGACCCAGGCTTCTGTATCGTGAAAAATAGAGGATTTTCAAGAGAAAATCAAATATTATGACTCTGGGTTAGGCAAATTATGTCATTTTTAAGGTATTTCTGGAAAAAAAATTCTAAAATTGTTCTATCCGTCATTCGGTTGCCCCCTTATGAGCAACCCTCAGAAGTCTTCAAAAGTCTTGTGCGAGCAAGGAATTTGAATTTTCCAACGTCATCACACTGTATACCGTATAGTAATATACGTAACCGCGAAGTCGAATGGAAGATGTAAGGACTTGCAGTTCTTTCTCGCAGACGTTATTATTGATTCATTTTTGGAAACTATAGCACAATAAAAGCAATCAACAGTGTATATATATATATATGATATATATCCGGGAAAAAAGTACTCACTTTTTTTTACGGGACAAAAGTAACTTATGGAAAGTGACATTTTATAACCTGCCAAACAGAGATGAAATGCCAAACTTTTTTCCCGTCACAGAAAAATAGTTATTTTTTATAAAAGGGAGGAAAGTAGTAGATTTTAGCTCCAGGTTGTGTTGACATAAAACCGTGAGCTAAAATCTAATATTTTTCCCGTGTATAATGCACTATTTTTTTCTGTGACAGAAGATAGGACGAATCAATATTGAGAAGATATTACATTATTTTGAAATCTGAGAATTATCGACGTGAAATTTTGAGTTTTTAACAGTAGGGACTTCTGCGTTCATCTTTATCATTCTTTTGGAGTAATCAAATATCTGATATGTCACTTCTGTCAGTCTAATTCTGTGATTTGATTTGAGAAAATTGCGAATTTAGTGGTTGTTTAGTGATATAAGTAACCGCGAAGTCGAATGGAAGATGAAAGAACTTGCAGTTCTTTCTCGGAGACGGTATTATTGACTCATTTTTCGGAACTATAGCACAATAAAAGCAATCAACAGTGTATATATATGTGATATATATCCGGGAAAGAAGTACTCCCTTTTTTTTTACGGGAAAAAAGTAACTGCTGGAAAGTGACATTTTATAACCTGCCAACAGAGATGAAATGCCAAACTTTTTTCCCGTCACAGAAAAATAGTTATTTTTTATAAAAGGGAGAAAAGTATAGTAGATTTTAGCTCCAGGTTGTGTTGACATAAAACCGTGAGCTAAAATCTAATATTTTTCCCGTGTATAATGCACTATTTTTTTCTGTGACAGAAGATAGGACGAATCAATAATGAGAAGATATTACATCATTTTGAAATCTGAGAATTATCGAGCTGACATTTTAAGTTTTTAACAGTAGGGACACCTCTGCGTTCATCTTTATCATTTTTTTGGAGTAATCAAATATCTGATATGTCACTTCTGTCAGTCTAATTCTGTGATTCGATTTGAGAAAATTGCGAATTTAGTGATATAAGTAACCGCGAAGTCCAATGGAAGATGAAAGAACTTGCAGTTCTTTCTCGGAGACGGTATTATTGACTCATTTTTCGGAACTATAGCAAAACAAAAGCCATCAACAGTGTATATTTATGTGATATATATCCGGTGAAAAAGTACTCACTTTTTTCCCACGGGAGGGAAAAAAGTAATTAATGAAAAGTGACATTTTATAACCTGCCAACAGAGATGAAATGCCAAACTTTTTTCCCGTCACAGAAAAAAAGTCATAGTTTCACTCTCTACACTCACCTGGCGTAATTTTCACAGCATGGTACACTATTTACTACAGTCGATATCAATAAGATATGTGTCAGATACATTTCATTGCTTGTCACAGATTGAGCATAGTAGATTGAAAATGAAAGTGAGCATCTCTATGATATCATTATGGATATTGAAACTTCCTGAATTATCTCCACCATTTTTATTAGCGGCTTTCATATGTATGACTGCGGGTACCTATTATCATTCATTAATTTATTGAATTCAAGGGCTATCTTACTCCGTACATATATGGTCCTGCATATCACCTCCCGTCTTCTATAGCTCAATTATCAGTTGAGTCAGGATTTTGATTTTTTGCAGACTTCAATTGTCTCATGGTGCGCATACCCGGAAAATAATTTCGATTACACAGGGTGTCCCAAAGAATTGTGACGTCATAATGAAATGTTTTTTTAAATGGCATGGCATATATTTTGTTGCACATACGAAGGGCTTTCAGTGGCTACCAACATACTCTTAGAATTCATTTAGAATCGGTTCAGTGATATTCACGTGAAAAAAAATATGACAAAAATTCAATTTTGCATCACTGGTCAAAAATATTAATAACAAAAAAGAGAGTGCCTGGTCAATAGACACATATCAAATAAGACCTAGGATGGTTAACCGAGTTTGATTGACACAAATCATCACAGGGTGTGCAAAATTTAGTGGCAAACTTTTCAAATTTCAAAGCACTATATTTTTCGGCAAATAACTTTTCATAAGAAGAGAATTTCGGTGGGGTTGTATTGAGGAAAGAAGTTTGTTCTTCATTAACGCATCGAATGACATGAAAATATACAGGAACTCAAATTTGATAATATATGATTAACTGATATACAATAAAGCGCCCACAATGCTAACAAAATTACAAAAAAGTTTGACAGAAATGCAGTTTTATTGTATTTGCTACCACTTTGGGAAATTCTACTTCTGCGAGTCATAATTTGATATGAATGAAGAGATGTGCATTAGAAATTATTGTAAATGCAGAAACTGAATGAAAACAGTTTCTCGGAGCGACATTTATAATAGATCGACGGCTGTACGAGATTATTCAAGGACGCAAAATATATTATACAAATACACCATATTGGGATGAATTTTTGAATGCAATTAGCTCATTTTATTTCGGCATTACTCAAACGTGGATCACCTTGATTTTATATACAGCAGGGTGTCCCAAACTCAAAGGATTATTACACGTTTCTGGAGAACGGAACATAAGATTATTTTGAGGATGTTTTATGCCTTGGGTTATCAGTTCTGCTTCATCAATCTGAAAATATTATCAGTGCTGCCGCATTGCCACATCTGTCAAAAAGTAGCAACAACTTTGTTACTTTGGGAATTTTTTATGTTGAAACCATTCATTATTGGTTCAAACGGCTCTCATGAACCTATCTTACCGTTTCATTCACCATCAATTGATATTTAATTGGAACAGATACAATATGATCAGAAGTTTGAATAATAAATCACCCGCCTCCCTGGCAACCAGATGACGTTTCAGTGACTTCTTTTTACGTCAGTTGAATGACCAACGTGACGTCAGGAGTTGACGTCGTATGACGTGATAAATGACGTGAGTAAGTCACAGTCCAATGACGTCATATTACTCACGTTTATTGACGTCATTCAAACACCAAACTGTTACGCGCTTGGTGGTCCCTCCGGTATCATGTCCATTCAATCGTCTATTCAGCAGCGCTATCCCTCAGTATAACGGAATGAAATCAGTTACTCGTATTTGTATGAAAAATTATGTAGTTTGTGTCGGCGAGATATAAGCAAACCAAGAATAACAGTTTGATAGCAATGAAAAGGATGTTGGCGAATTTATAGCTTCACTTTGTTGAGTAACGTATATTCTTGCATTATTTTAAATAGCGAATTATTGAAGAATTTTCTGAATGACGAAGCTCACCAAATGGGTACGTCACGCCGACGTGATTTTTAGACGTCATAGATATACGTCACTGCAACATCATAAAAGTGACGGTTTCAATATAGTTACACCTATATTATCATTTGTATATATACATATATAGTTTGATTGGTTTTCGAGATATACAGGGTGTCAAAGTTTAAAAAAAGTTTTCTCTAACGTTTTGGGTATATATACAATTCCAATAAAACTTGTATGTTGATTTGGTTCAATAAGTCATACTTTTATCGACGTTAGAAGCATATATACAGGGTGTTCCTTAATGATATGCTAATAATATTCAAGGGGCCGATTCTTCGACCCATTTCAAGAATAAAACTTCATATGAACATATGTCTTAATAAACGTCCTAACTTTTGAAATACAGGGTGTCAATATTGAAAATATGCATAGATTATTTTTTTGTTCACCCTGTATAGCTTTTCGTGATGGTTAAATTCAGTCTGCTATGTGACTGAATCGGTATACAAATTCCAAAATGTTACATATGGACTGAATGGAGTACATGAACATCAAAATTCGAAGTCTAGTTTCGTTTATTCCGTTTTTTCTCGAAAACGAAGCGTTCTAACGAGTATCAACAGGACTATCTTTTTTGTACATAATTGAATAGCCTTTTATAGCATTGAATGAAATTTGGAAATTTTTCGTCGTTGCTCACTTTTATGTAAAATATAAACAATAATTTTCCTGTAACGATGCCACTGGTAGAGAAAATGAAAATTTTCGTACATCAGAAAATGCACCTTGATGCATAAAAGACGTGTACTGAGTTTCATATGGATGTATACAATATTGTCTTAGTTATCATCAAAAAACTGAATATTTTTGAAACTTCATCACCTTGTATCTCAAAAGTTAGGACTTTTAGGACGTACGTTCATGTAAAGTTTTTTTCTCAAAATGAGTCAGAGAATCACCCCCTTAAATATTAGCATGTCTTCAAGGAACACCCTGCACAAAAATACCAAATCCTACATGATGTAAAATTAATGAAAAAACGATTTTTTTTGAAAACTTTTCGACACTAAGAATGCCCATCCTGTATACCTATATATAGGTACGTCACAAACCTAACTGTTTCACATGATAATGTAAGTATACATGGTTTGGATATGGTCTGGGAAACATGGACGTTGACAGGACGTCCCTGTAACGTCATGAAACTGACGTCTTATTATACCCTTCTGAGTGTGGGAAGTCATGAATTGGTGTGTGGAAAATCACCAATTAGGGACGTCACAGTGACGTGATCATTCGTCATCTGGTTGCCTGGGCTATATTCGTTCCAACTAAATGTCAGTTAATAGTGAATCGAAAGGTGTGATGGGAACATAGAAGCTGATGTTTTTACCAATAATGAGATTGCTAAATTCGAAATATCTCGATTTTTCACACCCTATAAATATTTCTGTAATCATTCCCCACTTGACCCCAGTGTGTGATAGATCGGTGAAATCCGTTCTCCAGGGAGATAAATACAATGAAATACAGGGTGTTCGATTCGATATAACAAGATTATTACAAGTTTTCGATTGAAGCGGCAACGCCAAAGCGCTGATTACCCAACAGACCAAATTTCCAAGCTGGGTCCTAGGTCCCGTTCTTCAGGAACGTTCAATTGGCCATTGACACACATATACGGTACCGAACTATAGAGAAACAGTACGTCAAGAAACTCACGTCATATTCTTTTTAACCCAATGATGTTTACTCAAAGTCGTAATGATAACGTGATTATCACGTCATAAAAAGTACGTCATATCGACGACATAAATTGGTGTGTGACGTCTTTGACAAAAAAATCACTGATTGACCATCTGGTTGCCTGGAGTAGTTAGCCGTACTAAAATATAGAGAATGAATAATAGTAGGTATATACCTATAGTTTGAAGAAATAAAGTAACTCGCTTTTATATAGATAGCCAAAATGAAATGAGGTATGGGAAATAAAATGATAAAACTTTGTTGATAACGATATATACAACATAGAATCATGATTACGGAGGTGCTTATATTCTCTGTTGTGTTTTATCACACACTTTCATTATTCTATTTTCAACCACTTTTCAGTTTCGCTATCTATAAAAGCATAAAAGCGCGTGTTTCTTCAGTTTTTTTAACTACATCATTCTTCTCTAGTTTACCACGTTTTTATTAGCTTGGTATGTATCATGATGGAAGTATAATAATGTGCTGTGCTGTGCTACTCACTCAAGATGCTTCTTAGCACACCTTATTATAATTCATATATGTACTATTTTTATATATGCATGGCCCATCGCCTATACGATATCTAAAAAAAATGGGACCAAAATGAGAGGTACTTTTTGAATCTATAAGGACGGAAAGTGAAGGATGGCAACAGCGATATTGGTTTAACAAGTTTCGTATCATTTTTTTCCTACGTCGGCATTAACGCCTATTGGTCGATTCCGTTACCTATAGAAGTTGGTCCCGCTTTGAGGACTATGGTATGTTTGTTTGTATGTTGACCCATTTAGATTGAAACTTCGCACTCTCATCAAGGATCGATGTCAACAGCATAATTTGATAGTTTTGATCCATTATCTTGTTCAGGATCTTCAGGATGAGCGATTTTTTTTTCTCGGATAAAATGGTGAATGTTCCTCCACCAAAATTGCAAATGTTCCGTCACCAAAATTTAAAATGTACGTATCGATTCCTTCGAATAACCATGAATAACTTTAATATCCAGTGTCACGGCAGTTTCTTGCACCAACTATTCGTATGAATAGTTTACAATTCTGTTACATCCAGAGAGACGAGTGATTTACACATTTCGAAACGTCGAATAGAATTGGAATTTTGCACAACTTATAAGGACCGATGACAATATCAACATAGTCTTCAGCAGTGCCAGCCATTAGATGCGCTACGGGCTACATTACTGGCATGAGTTGAGCCTCTTCCGTTCGATATGTCAAGAAAACATGTTGGCAGTATTTACTACAAAACTATGTTGGCAATGCCGCACTGTTTGACGTTTGTCATTCGTCACGTCAGAATCACAAATGTCAACACTGTGTCAAAACTTCTTGCCGCTGTTACTGCGGTAGACTAGCACCATTTAATAACCTTTTATTTTGATTGGGACTGATTTATCCAATTTTCCCCATGATTTGCTCATGATAATAATGGTACTTCTGCGATCGGTAGTGTTCGGTGGTTCTTGTTATCTGTGAGCGGACAAAATAAACGGTCAAACTGGCGAGCGACAGCGGCGATAGCAAGTCAAACATGGCTTCTTCGGCGAGATTTATTCAAAGTCCGACGGCATGGTGTCAGAGGAAATTGAATTTGAGGCCGCAGCATAGAGGAGTGCACCTGGTTTCGGAAGAAATTCTCCGGCAGCTGCCGGAATTGAATCAATTTGCTATCGGATTATGTCACATCCAAAGTAAATAACCTTCACATGATATCTTTACAAGTAATATTCCTGCTTTGTTACTATCAATGTTTTTGTTGTTTTAGTTCTACACACTAGTGCTAGCCTAGCTTTGAATGAAAGTTGGGACCCAGATGTTCGGGATGACATGGAGATGATGTTGAATAAGATTGTTCCTGAAGGACTGCCCTATAGGCATTCTTGTGAAGGTCCTGATGATATGGTAAGGTATTTTATCTAGTTTTAGCTCATAATATTCATAAACTGACCAGATATAGTTCAATTTATATACCTCATTAGATGAGTTTGGATGGACAGTTTTTTCAGCCTATTTCAGAAGGTTCAGTGGACAATCTAAAAGAGTTAACATGTCTATAAATCTTTCCACCTCTGACAGGGCAACGTTTGTATATAATTTGTGATATCACTTGTCTACAAACTTCCTTGAACTGACTGAACTCTTCATACTTACTTATACCTGGTCAAAATAAAATATGAAACCAAGCATTCAACATAGTGGGATACCTATTCTGCAATTAATTGTTAATCTTTCATAAGATCTATAATAATTGTTTTGTATTATCCTCATAACTCCTTGGTTGGGAATTGAGTTTCTTTGAGAATTAAGAGAATCATTGTTTTCATATCAAATTAACAGAATACAACTACTTTCCTGGTTTATACCACAAAATATTGAATTAGATCTGTCAAATATTGGAAATTGCTAATTCACACTAATCTAAAAAATGTACAATAACTCTTGCTGAAATATGTAATAAAAAACAACCACTATCCTGGCAAATACCAGAGAATATTCAATTATATTTTGAATTCAGTTTTTTCAATATTTGGCAGATATAATTAGGGGGTAAATACCCAGGGCCTTGATGAGAATATTTTGTATTCATGAACTTTTCAACAGAAAACATGGAAAATTTTTCTTTATTACACTATTTTTGCAAGTTTAATGTCTTGTGACAGGTTTTTAAATTTGGCAACCTTCTAAATAACCAAAACCAATGTTCAGATTGAACAACTCTCCAAGAACTCATCAAAAATGACCAGTGGTCTGAGATCTGGTATCTGGTAATCTGGTACTACAGAAATGATACCCTAGACATAAAACCACAATGAACTACAAAATCTATATTAAAAAAAACTACCCACTTATGAAACAAAATAAAACTTTTTTAGTACATGTCTTTGCATTTTCTTGACATTTGGGTGTTTCTACTTGGTTTTACAGTGCTTACATTCAACACCTTTTTTTTTCTATGTCAAATCAAGACTAAGCTGGATCTTTCATTTTTATCATTTTATTCAGATTTGTGGCATAGTACAAAAGTGGAACTGTGAAAGTGAGTTATATTATTGTTTCTCTTCTTCGGCTTCTTTTTTTTATTATCTAGGGCAATATCAAACATTTCACTATGTTTACATGGTGGTTTAGTGCTGTCAACAAATTCTATATTTGAAAAAATACCCACTTATGAAACAGAATAAAACTTTGTTAGTACATGTCTTTGCATTTTCTTGACATTTGGGGTGTTTGTACTTGCTTTTACAGTGCTTACATTTAACACCTTTTTTTTTCTATATCATATCAAGACTAAGCTGGATCTTTCTTTTTCATCATTTTATTCAGATTTGAGGCAAAGTACAGAAGTGGAACTGTGAAAGTGAGTTATATTATAGTTTGTCTTCTTCTGCTTCTTTTTTTTTATTATCCAGCACAATGTCAAACAATTCACTATATTTACACAGCAGTTCAGTGCCGTCAACAATATCAAATCGTTTTTTATAAATACCCACTTTTGGGTGGGTATTTATCATTAGGATGAATACCAGGATAAATGCCCAATTTATGAGAACCCAGCTACTGGGTAAATACCCACTGCCCATCACTAGGTATTAGCTAGGAAAGTAGTTGTTTTCTATTGAATATTTCCATAATGATTTTCCAAATTCTCAAAAAGGAAACTAAGAACATGAAAATTTCAATAAAAGAATATGTCCATTAGGGTTTATGCATTTAAATCTCTCATTTTGGATTAAGAATAAAAAATTACAAAGGTCAACTTTCAACAACTACTGATTAAGAAATTTTTGAGATAGAACATGCAGAACTTGAAAATTTGGTTTGTTGTTTTTCAGAGTGAAATTTAGTATTTGAATTATTCCTTTTTTTTGATATTTCATTGCAATATTTTATATGATTTCCTGGGTTGTGAAGATTTATAATACTTTTAACATTATTTTGAGTATAATTTGAAATACCTAGTGGCAAGTTCTGTACAATTAGTCCCTCTCAATTAGTTAAAATACAGAATACATTGCCAAATGATGATAATATTATCAAACCTTGTACTGTTAGTAACTGAGCACACATACTTAGTTTGAGCATATTATGACTTGAAAACATACCCAGTACTATAATATGATACATTGTATGTGCCACTCTATTATTGGGCAGTGAAACAACTGCCTGTTGGGTGGCATCAAATTTATAAATGAATTGATACATTTCACATCTACCTAATCCTTAATAATGATTATGTATAAACACCTTCACAATTATTGATTACCTATTGATTCTTAGTCCCTAAATGTTAGTTTAGTTTTAGTTGAATCTATAATCTCAGCATCAACTTACAAATTCTGTTTTGCAATATCATGACAATTTCCTCTTCATTTTGACACATTGTAGACTTGATTGTAGATGATTCAATGTTGATGACACCGTTTTTTTATCAAAAATCATAACAATAACTTCAAAAGATATTGTTTACATTCAAAATTATTTTTATTCTTCTGGATTCAAATTGAAATCAAAAGCCACTAGATGGCGTTGAAAAATTTATTGTCAAATTTTGAAGTGGAGTTGATCAACAAAACATTTGCCTTATGGATCCAATGTAAATTGGTCATTTTGAAAACCATAACTTAGAGAACCAAATTATCCATCTGAGAAGAGATGATCTTGATGATGAGTTATTGATAATCATTTATAAGAAACAAACATATTTCATTCAAGTTTTAACAATTCATATTGTTCTCAAAATGTTTATTTACCACTTATGTATTACCATTTCCCCCCCGAGTTTCCCCTTAACATTTGTTACTTCCCATTACTTTCAGCTTGTATTTTAGGAAATAAACGTAGATGGTAAGGATCTCAAATATATCGGGCTTAGTTGGTGATAACATGAGCCCTTTTGAAGAATACGTTGCAGTCAAAATGATGTACCTAAATTCATTTAGAAAAAAATACAATAGGTTGGTTCTTTAATCTTCAACTCAGATTAATCCAATGGAATTTCATGAATATCTATGCACTTTTGATTCTTTCTGGGTTTGAAAGTAATTTTTAAATGTTTGCACACAACTCAAGTATTACAATAAAATAGGTAGGTATAATTTATTTAGATCAATCCTATGTTCTTTATTTTTTCATTGATATTTCCACACAATTTTTCTGTTAAATTCTTCTCCAAGGAGCATACTTTTCCATACGATTTCACTTTTATTTGCAGGAATTTTACTTTTCCGCACGATTTTTAGTTTTCCTCACAACGAATCGATAAAATGGGTCAAGATTTCAATTTGACATTTCCGATTTGAAACTTCGTAGATATAGAGGGAGTCCAAAAACTATAAATTTTCAAAATCGCCCTGTATCTCATAAACGGAAACAGTCATGCAAAATATTATTAGGCCATCTTGAATTTCACAAAAAAGTCCAAAGATAAGTGAGATATCACGCAAAACCATTGAAAACTGGACACACTGTACTTGTGGTTTATTGAAAATTCAAAATGTCATTACAACAACCAACTCAACTGACCAATTGAGATATTTTTTATCTTGAACGAGAGAGAGAGAGAGAGAAAGGAAAGTTCTCTCCTCTTCCATCTTTCTCTTCATTGATACCAACGTAGCCACATTGAAATATAGAGAGGTCCGATAAATATGTCCTTGTAAAAACTTTACAAACGATAAGATTTCCACAACACAACATGTTTTGCTAACACAGTAGCTTCTTCAGGTGATATACTGGTACAATGAACTAAACCAACGTTGGCTTGCTTAACTCTTATATATCCTACTTTCCCTTGGAGAATTAATTACCTGTGGACAGAATCGATAAACCTCCATTTTCGGAAATCAGGCACAATATCAACATTAAATTACCGTATACCGGATTAACTTGAAAGGGTTGATAACAAATAAATATTATTACCTACTAAGAAAACAAATTCAACAGTGGTGAACTATTGAGGTCTAATTGATCGTTGAGTAAAATGTCAAAATTTTTGAGTTTGTTGATTTCTAATGATTCAAAATGATTGAGTTTCATTCCTTTATTTTTTGAATAAGGAAACAAATTCAACATACGCCAACCATATATTAAATGAAAACCATAGTTCTGATGATAATTTCGAAATTCTACATGTAGAAAATAAAAGAAAGAATAATTATAATTATATCACACTAGACGACATTTGGTCCTGTAAACGTGACAACACAGGACTGTGGGCGGTGTCTTGTCAGTTCTCAGCATTCAGCACAGCATTGCCAAGTCTTCATAGCCAATATTCACATTATGTTTCGTTGTGGGCTATAAGAAATATTTTGACAAGCTGGTTGCATGAAAAAGTCATAAATTAAGAACTATAATATCATGGCTTCCTCCTATTAGGTCGAATGAAATATCTTATTTAGCTGTAGTCTTATTCAACGATAGGACTCTAAAAACTTTTTAATAACTTGATCATATTTGGTAATCTGACAACCTTGCTTTTTGAGTGGCAACGGAAGATTATCTGACTAATAATAAAACAGCATAAGAGCTGACGTCACCATACCAGGTGACACAGGCTCATGGTGAATCCCCCTTATCTCCTTTGTTTTTCTAGCTATGTATCTCTCAAATTTGGAACATCGAATATGCTCACTAAAGGGCACTTTCTCACATACTAGTTTTCTTTATGGCTTCTAGTTTTCCAGGAAATGACATCAACCATCGATTTTCAAATGGAACACTCTCTATTTCAAACCATAATCGTTTTGGGATTATTATAACGAATTCAACAAACTGTACAAAACGGCCCCTTTTCCGAATCCACATATAAATCTGTCTCTTAGACATACCTCCAACTCATTACCGAAGCTACAGCCCACTGCTAATCCTCTAAGCCTAGCAGCCATCAATATTGAGCTTAT